ATTATAGTGATGTAAGTCTGCGATGGTTGACATAGATTTCACTAGGTTGACAGGTAGTATGGGTGTGATGGTAGATCATGAGGAGAACAGTAGTTCCCACTGGTTCGGGGGCAGCAGCGGGGATATGGAAAACCACGTGTTGGATTTCGGGATTACCCAGATGAATTAGATCTGGATGAGTCAGTGATAAGACTGTAGGGACGCCACTACAGTTATGAGATCAGGGAAGTAAAGGACTGCTTAAGGTCGTTGTAATATAAGGCTACCATTGATCAGGTAGCCAACACTCTTAGCCTTGGATTTGGTGACGTCAGGACTTGACGTATGAACCCGGTCAGTTAGATCAGATGCCCTTAGAACCACAATGGCAAGATAATTAGTGGCAACTATCAATAAGGCAAGGATTTTATATGGAAGTCGCGTGGGGCAACTGTGAGATTGCTCTTGGCTCAACAATCATATAGGACGTCAACTTTCCAGATAAGATGGAACTAGGGAGGTCCCGGTCGACTTTTGGGAAGCATCCATGTGGTAGCGTGCTGTTCAGGCAGTTCAGTGCTTCAGACAGTTCAGTGTTTCAGGAAGTTCAGTGTTTCAGGAAGTTCAGTGTTTCGGGCAGTTCAGTGTTTCGGGCAGTTCAGTGTTTCGGGCAGTTCAGTGTTTCGGGCAGTTTAGTGTTGCAGGCAGTTCAGTGTTTCAGGCAGTTTAGTGCTTCAAACAGTTCAGTGTTTCAGGCAGTTCAGTGTTTCAGGCAGTTCAGTGCTTCAGACAGTTCAGTGTTTCAGGCAGTTCAGTGTTTCAGGCAGTTCAGTGCTTCAGACAGTTCGATATTTCAGGCAATTCTATGTTGTGGGTAGTTTCAGAGTATCGGAACGCCTTGAGAGGTTGTAGGGTAGTTGGTCGTAGTGGACTTCGAGGACGAAGTCTAATTTAAGTGGGGGAGAGTTGTAACACCCTGTTTTGACAGATACTTCGGTTGTGGTCTCGGAGGCCCAGGGTATAAGCGATTCGGTCTTTTATGGGTCTCGAGTTTTATTCGAAAGGTTTTAAGGCTTGGGTGTGTAGTTAGGAGCGTAGAGCTTCTCGCCACCTTTTCGTGGATACAAAGTTCATCGGAAACGGACTTAGAATGAAGGAGTTTTAGCAATTTGAAGTTATTGGCATAAATGGTCCCTAGTGGAAATGTTTGGCAAGTAAGTCCCATGCATGCAAGGATGCATGTGCGTGTCCGGCTAGGTACGCCCAACGTAAGCTAGGATACGCCCAGCGTATAAGTGAGAATGGTCGCGGGTGCGGAGAGGCGTACACCCAGCGTACGCTCAGAGTCACTAAACCCTAATTTTAGGGCTATGTCACTATAAAAGGAATAATGTGCCTCAGGGGTCAGCCTCCCTCTCATCTTTAGACAGCCACCACGAAACCCTAAACCACCTTTGAGTGTCCTTGGAGCTTTGGAGGCCATTAGAGAGCATTTTGGAGTAGTAAAGCCATTTTTCCAAGCAAGTGAAGAGCATAACAAGGTGGGGGATCAAAGGAAAAGATATAGATCTGGGGTTATTGCTTCATTTCAGACTTTCTTGAGGTATAAAGTCTTGAACTTGCCTCTTAGAAGCTTAGATCTAGGGTTTTAAAGCTTTGAACCTTTTTAGGTCCAAAGAATGGATCTTGTTCATGCAACTCCGTTTTTGAGCTTAGGGTTGCCACCCTTGAAGCTCAAGTGTCCCTTAAGCAGTAAAGTTGCAAGCTTTGAGGCTTTTATGTAGTCATGCATGAGATCTAGCCATTTCCATAGAAGTTTATTGCTATTCTTTAGAGTTGGGTTCATTTGGTGGGTTTCAAGCCACCAAGTGATCGACTTTATGGGTTAGGATGAAGTATTGGACTCAGATCTGTAGTTTGGACGTAGTGTCTTAAGGGATTAAGTATTTTTGGAGAAAATGGCTTAACAGGAGAGTACGTTGGGCGTACACGCCAGTACGCGCAGCGTACAATCCATTCAAGCAGTACATGCAGCGTACAGAAGGGTACGCTCAGCGTACGCTCAGACAGTGGGCTTTATGTTATTGGGCCTCAGTTTGGGCTAGGCTTTGGATATAGCAGTAGTTGGGCCGAGATGGGCCTTCAGAAGTCAGTCAAGGGCCCAAGGACTTGTTAGGCTTGTGAGGAAAAGCCCATTTGAGAAGTTGGGCCCAATTTATAAAATTGGACCATTAGCGAGCCTTAGTAGGCCATGAGTGGACTTATAAGGACTAGTTGGAATTGGGTCTTGGATATGGCCCAAAGTTAGAACATGGGTAAAATGGTCATTTTACCCTTATTGGGATTCTTAGTTTTTGACTAAGTGTTTATTTGGTCATAATAGCCGGAGTGTAGTTGGAGCAGCAAACAGAGTTACCTTGCACGAGTTTTCACCAACCAGATTGAGAGGTGAGTTTCTCTCCAGTAGGAACGGGTCTAAGGCCACAATGTCGGGCCCGTTTAGATGTTAGTAGTTCCGGACTACGGTCCGATGTTGGGGTGGTCCCGAGAAGAGTATATGTATGCTTGATGTCTTCGTGATTCATGCATGTTATGTGTTGTGTGTTCCGGGGCAAGCCCGATGTATGTTAGCTTATATGTTATGTGTTAAGTGTTCCGGGGCTTGATGTCGGGGTTAGCCCGATGCAGATTACATGTTTCCGGACTTCGATCCGATACCGGGGCGGACCCAAGAAGTAGTTATGTATGCTTGATGTCTTTGTGATTCATGCATGTTGTATGTTATGTGTCGGGGCAAGCCCGATGTATGCTAGTTTATATGTTATATGTTATATGTTCCGGGATTCGGTCCGATGTCGGGGTAAGCCCGATGCAGGTTATGTGATTATGTTATATGTTATGTTGTGTATGTGTCGGGGTAAGCCCAATGTCGGGGTGAGCCCGATGCCAGGCGTAGTCTGATGCCGGGGTGAGCCCGATGCCGGACAGGAGTCCGATGCCGGGTGAGCCGATGACGGGTTCGTCCCGATGCAGTTGGGAGTAGTCCCAGAGTTATGCTATTTGTTATATGACATGTGTATGGTATGTGGTAGTTTGGGGAGACTCACTAAGCTTCGTGCTTATAGTTTTCAGTTTTGGTTTCAGGAACTTCGACTTTCAAAGGAGGAGCTTGGGATGATTGTTGTGCACACACCATTTGTTTAGCCTGGGATGTTTATACTCTGATATATTTGACATGTAACTTTGATACATGACTTATGACTTTTATTTGATGAGGATATTTATGGTTTTATTAATGGTTTAAAACGAAATTTGTGGGCTGTATTTTTGGGATGTTTCAAGTTGGTATCAGATCCTTGGTTTGAGGGATTCGGGCACACTCTCGGGTGTGTCTGAACTCAAATTAAGGAATTGGTATAGAAATTTTCAAAAGAAAAGTCAATTTTTGTAAAAAGGATTTTGAGAAAAGAAAAGAGTTTTAGAAAAAGTGAAAAGAATTTTAAAAAGACAAAAGAACTTTGAAAAGAGAAAAAGGTGTGGTGCAGGCAATCAGCCGAGCTCAAGTAAGTACTCCCAAATTACCCATACAAGTTATTGTTATGATTATCAGCTTTATGAGAACAGCATGCTAGACTAGGACTAAGGATCTAGGAAGGATGCCTTATGTGCTTATTATATGTGTACCAGCTTTATGTGAATATCATGCTAGTTTAGGACTAAGGATCTAGGAAGGATGCCTTATATTCCTGTTATATGTATCTCAGCTTGATGAACTGCATGCTAGTACAGGTTAGTCAGGGGTAGCCTGAGAGAGATATGCTTGATTAGGTTTACTCGATGCTTGAATGCTGCTTGCTTTGTGCTTTTAGGAGTCTTAGTTATCTTTTAATAACTAGTAAATGAATATGTTATGTTACATATTGCAAGGATTAAATAATTTCAGAAGGTTAGGTCTAGCCCTATTGTGCAGCTCTTGTCTGAGTCCAACCGTTGTAGGGTAGGACCTCTCATTCGAAGAATTATCTAGTCTTATTGATATTTAATAGTATTCGCGAGCTAGTTAGGGGAAGATAGCAGGGACTTATTATGTAGCTGATGGGGGAGAGTGGATTGGTGATTTCCCTAGGGCAAGCCTAGGATGAGTAGCAAAGAGTAGTACCAGTTTGAGGAAGTGACTTGGAGGATGCGGGAGAATTGCCGAGGAAAGTATGGATAGGTGTGGAAGGTAGTATTGGGCCTGTACTACTGAAATTTAAGGAGAACAATAGTTTAAACCATTTTGGAGGGCTTTGAATGCAACAACTGTACCAAAGTTTGAAGCAGCAATGAATGAGATTAAGTCCTTAGAAAGCAGGGCTTATGACTATCTCATAGACAGGGATCCAAGGTGTTGGTCAAAGGCTTTTTTTAGAGAGGGTATGGACTGTGATGCAGTAGAGAATGGAGTTTCTGAAAGTTTCAATTCTGATGTACTTGATGCTAGAAGGAAACCAGTGATAACAATGTTGGAGGACATAAGATGTTGGGCAATGCAGATGTTATGGATGCAGAAGCAAAATGGTTTGAGTTGGGATTTGGACATATGCCCAAGTATCAAAAGCGAGATAGAGGATTTGAAAGAATTGCAAAGGTTAGTAACAATTTCATTAGTTATACATTGGTTTGTAATGGTAACTGACTATCTTCTTATATATTGACAGATTTTCGGTACCTTATGTGAGTGGCTACAAAGAATTTGAAGTGTTCTCAGAAAATGAGAGGTATGCTGTTGATCTGCATCAGAGGTCATGTGGATGCAGAAGCTGGCAACTCACAGGCATTTCATGTGTACATGCCATATCAGCAATTTCATCATTGAACCTAGATGTGGAGGCTTTTGTATCAAACTCCTATACTAAAGCCTTTTTCCTTAGTAGCTATGAGTATAACATCCACCCACTCAATGACAGATCTGACTAGCCACATGTTGAAGGACTTCATACTATTTTGCCTCCATTAAGGAGGAGGTTACCTGGCAGGCCATGTGTCAAAAGGAAAAGAGATCAGGCACAAAAAGAGAGCTAAGGGGGCACACAAGGCATACTGTGTCAAGGGTAGGCATTCCTGTAAGATGTACCATTTGCCACCAAACTGGCCACAACAAAGCCACGTTCCCAAGTAAGCCAACTCCAGCTCCAAGCACAGCAGGTCCAAGTCAATCAAATCCAGCTCCGGGCATAGCAGTTCCAAGTCAATCAACTCCAGCTCCAAGCACTCCTACTCCTGCTGTAAATGAAGTTCCTCTGAAGAAAGCTCATGTCAAGAGAACTCCTGTAAAGAAAGCTCCTGTGAAGAAGGCTCCTGTGAAGAGAAGTCCTATGAAGAAGGTTCCTTTGAATGATATTGGTAGGGTGAGAAAGTTTTCAAAAAGAATCACAGAAATTGGTCTTCACAAAAATGTTAAAGTCAAGGATGGAATTGGATGCAACCAAGACAAACATGTGACCTTAGAGTAATTAGCTTTTGGTGTAGTGGGCTAATGCATGTGATATATATTTTGATGTAGTGTGGGGTGATCTTTTGAACTTAATTACTATATTACTCCTACTAGTTGTTTACTTTTGATGTACTTGTCGAATATTTTGAACTAAATTAATGTATTACCCCTACTGGTGGGCTTATCTTTTGTAATTATTAAATGGCTTGATGCCTTTTGTCAGCCACTTTTATTTGTCTTTACATCCAATTGTCTATAAAAGAATATTTCCTGTAATTTGTCTTGGTTTTACCTCCATTTGACTGACTTAATTACATCAACATCCATACATAATAGCAATAAACTTTACCATTACATAAACATAAAGTACATCAACATCCATTACATAAACAAGAATTACACAACAAGTCTATTACATCAACATCCCCTAAAGCCTCCAGAAGCATATCTTCAACCCCAAAACATAACCTTACCAATGACCAACAGAATTAGTACACAAACCATAACCTTCAACTGTTTCACTTCTTCTCTAACAGATGCCACATCCTCTAAAACTTGTATAAGATAATCTGCAACATCTGAAAGAGTATCTTCTGCAATGGGCTTCATATTCTCAGGTTCTTCATCAATCCATTCCCAAACTGTACACTTTTTCCCTGGTTTCTGTAGTAATAAAATCAACAACATAAAAGGTAAGAAGAAGAAAATTGATGCGATTTGACAAATAAAAGGACTAAATGTGTACATTTCAAAAAATAACTTACCATATCAAGTCATTATCCCTAAATCATAAACACGGTTAATGTTTTGTATTGATCAATTTTATAATGTTAAAGGAATGCCCATATTAAATCATACATGAACACTTATTTTTTTGGGTTGATCAGTTTTATAATGTTAAAACTTAAAATATATTTTTCAATTCGATATTTTTGAAATTTACTAAATTGATTATAGTTTTCGAAATGAATACTTGGGATTAGGGTCGGATTTTGGACATTTCACTTTTGATTTCGAAGTATTATGTTTGATAATTTTTTGAATTTTTCTTAACAGATTTATTTTATGGTTATTAAAGTTAAATACTTTCTTAGATAAAGTGAAATGATCTCTAATCACAAGCAATACATAAAAACGGTAACTAGCTTTTTTTAACTGGTTTGAGCATAACAAAAGTGACATTTTAAGATTAGTTTGGTATGTGGATTTGGTTAAGCATAATTCCGCATCTTTGCATCTTTGAGTTCTTTTTTTTTTTTTTTTTTTCTTTTTGACCTATTTATTGTCTTCAATTTGGTAAAAAAGTTTGTCTTTTCTTATGATGACCTTTTGAGCCTACTCAATGGACCTTTAACCAACACATATCGAGCAATACACATATCATGTAATGAGAATAGCATCATCTAAAAACCAGACTGATTAGAGAACGAGCTTGATAGTGTTTTTTTTTTTTTTTTTTTTTATGATTTTTGACCGGTGAGAAAACATTTTTTTTAGAGTTATGGAGATAGTTAAGCATATTAGCACATTATGAGAGTGAAAGAATCAATATAGCTTTTGTATAAACTAGTATAGGTGCCCATGGATTGGAATGGTGTTTGTTTTTTAATTGTGTGTGTACGTAAGGTAGTAATTAGTCAGAGCAGATAGAATTCCATGGTTGATATTACAATGGTTGCTAAAATTCAACATCCAAAAAACAAATAAAGCTTGATGAATGATAGACTTTAAATCCATGTACTCAACTTTCCTCTTGAAGTGTATGGTTCTGAGAAATACCTTGAACATTAAACATAGGCAGTAAATTTGCTTCACCCTACCCAAACAAAATACAAAAGTTAGAAAATCATCTCAAACAAATTTGTCCATAGAACTCCATCTGACATTATTAAGTTTCCAATTATTAGTCTCTTCATCTTTTTCCTTGTCCACTTTCCAGAAAAACAACATTTGATATTTAGTTGAATAGGATAACCATAAGCATTACTAAATTCCAACCTCCTGAACCTAAAAAGCGATTCAATAGAGCAACAACAACCACAAAAGAGGCTTGTATATGTTATTTTCCAAGTTTGACCAAAATACACTTTACTAAAAAAATCACATAACCACCTTCTGATGATAAAGATGAAAGTACAGTCCATATCATTTACGATCCAAGTGAGAAATACCCAAATATACAACTTGAAACTATGCCAATTATGCATTTGACTAAAATACCCCTGCAACAGATATACAAATTGAATCTCTACCAATTATGCATTTGACAATACACAAATTGAACTTTTTTCTGCAAGAAAAAAAAAATATTATAAATGAAAATATAATATTTAGGGTATTATTGTCAACAGGGTTAAAATGAGAATGTTGGAAGTTCCACATGGAAGTTTATAGATTTAGTTGGCTCGTATTGTCGCCAATATGAATGTAAATCAACATTTTGTCAAGAAAAAAGGAACACAAATTTAAAGATAAGAAGTTGTTCTTTAACATGTTAGCCTATTGAAATTAGAACCATAACCACTTGAAGGTTTTCTCACCCTACAAAAATATGAAATCGAGAATTATATATGAAATTGTGATCATAAACAAATGAAATTGATTTGTAGTATGCATAACATGCTAATATGTCAATACAAGCCTCTTAAACATGCATCACAGTAGCTTGTTCCATTTGATTATTGAAGCCAAACCATTAATCAACTGTCACAAGTGAGGCAAATTATCAAAATGTTCCATAAATCCATCACATAATTAAATAGACAGAAAAGAGAGAGAATTCAATTCAATAAAACGATTGTGTGTGTCACTATAATAAAACGATAAGAGTTTGTCATCCTTAAAAATGTTAACTTCCTCAATTACCCCTATTATGTTTACAACTATTCTCTTCAAAGTGTTTTGCAACGTCTTCTCATATGTGGTGGTGGTTTTATGTGTATCCTTCTTCTTTCTCTGCAGCTTTTGATCAAATTGACCATATATATAACCAAATTTCAATACAGGCAAATGAGGAAAAAAAATGTTTCAATTAATCTGGGAGAAATTCCGGTGTGCTTACCAAGTTTCAATCTGAAATTAGAAATTCGAAATTCACTTAAAGCCCTAACTGGTGCCGATCGATTTGAGCTCGAATTTGTAAAAAACAAAATCAGAAATTAGAAATTCGAAATTCACTTAAAGGCCTAAATGTAAATTCGATTTCAAATGTTTTTCAGTCGGTGGAACTGAGGAAGAAGGTATGTGGTCTTGGAATAGCAAGACTGCGTATAACAAAGTTGGAACAAACGTGGGGCGTACAGGCAGCGAACAGGCGAAGGATACGAATAGGAATGGAATCTACTCAAAGTGCTGAAAAAAAAATAGGGAAGATGAAGGATCGATTTTTTGATTTTCCATTTTCTTTTTTTGTATAAGTATTTTTATATATTAAACTAGCTGGGGTACCCCACTCCGCTGGGTTCGGTTTTGATCAGGGTTTTAGTTTTTTCTTTTTCGGTATGTATTAGGAAGTAACGTTTGTGTTTTAATGGATATTTTATTTTTGTAACATATATATACATAAGGGAATGGTTAAGGGGACTTGAGTTATATTCAATAAAAATTCTTACAAATTTGACTAAGAATTTATCAAAAAGGTAAAAAACATAATAAAGTACATTGCTAAGATGTCGTTTTCCATTCATGCATAGAGTTGAATACCCCATTCAATAATTGTTTTGGATCCAATCCATAGGAATCAATAGAAAAGGCAAATCTCTTATGATACACCAGATCCGGCTCGGTAATTGATAGAGTGAATAAACAAAAACAAATATGACCAAATATGAATTCAGTTTTTATATAATATAATATATATTTCAGCCACAGACAACCTGTCGTTGTTTACTCATCTTCTCAAGATTCATTGAAACCAATTTGGTTAAATTTGGATCTTCAATAGCCAGCTCAGCACCTAGACTGAAAAAAAAAAAAAAAAAAAAAACATCAAATATAAATAAACTGCAAGACTTTGGGAAATAGGGCCCAGTAAAAGTAAGGAAACTAAAGAATTGTATTAATAAAGTCCTGATTTTAGAGATTCTCATCTCAGTGTCTTATTTTGGATCCAACACCAGTTTTTGAACTTCCTTAATTGATGAACTTGCTGCATAAAGTGAAATCTTTCCAACCTACAATCATTCAGCATTACAATTAAAAAATAAGGTAAATAATGGAATCACAAGGGTATAATGGGAAAAAAGATGTTTGGCCTCTAAAATTTGAAGCTTTGCGTCATGGTCATTAGGAAGTTCATGAATCTCTGCACCTTATCTCACAGAACCTGCTTGACTTTCACGGAAGAGGAAATCAAGCGGTAACTCAACAGTTGACTGCAAAAAGTCAACACAACTCAATTATCAGTTTTTATAATTTTATTTGTTAAAAAAAATAAATAAAAAACCAAAAATAAAATAAAAAAAATTATTTTTTAGTATTTGTATGAGAAAAGGACATTAAACTCACCTGACCATGCCTCTACACCTGATAAATAAATAAATAAATTCACATAAATTTCTACAATTAAATCCAGAAAAAGCAACATAAATATAAAACTTACCAAAAGGCCACTTCACATCTTGTTGTAGCAAAGTGTACTCTTGCTCAATTCCAAACCTTAAATCATATAAAATATATATAAGTTTTTCTTCAAAACAAAGATAATTATGAAACAATAATTAAAATTTTCATTCAAAAAAACTAGCAGGGAACTTGTGTTACAACTTTAGGATCACTGAAAATCTCAGCAGCCTTACGACATTTGTTTGTAGGGATAAGCAGTCCTTGTGGAGTGTATGTGTGGCAGATTACCTTTCAAAAAGAAGCAAAATAGATAATTTAAGAAAATAGCAATTTTTCAAAATATTAAGAAAAAGGTTGAAACTTGAAAGTATGATATTGTAATAAACTCACCAGGATGTTGCTGCCACCACGGAAAGGGTCTGCATAGGGACTACAAAAATAAAAATTATAATTATAACAAAAAAAAACAAACAAACAAATTAGAAAGTAAAAGCAAGAGAAAACCAGTCGGGATACCAAGTTTGGCTACAAGTGCACGCATTTGTGCAAGCCTTTTTTGGTAAGTTGGACCTCCTCTTCGCACATAGATGTGCGTGTTTGCAGCTTTCTACTTAGATACCTACACATAACAAAAACACAAATTATTATACTGTTGAATATAAAAGAAAAGAGATACATTGTGAAATTAAATGTATGTATTTATAATAAACATATGCAGCGTGACAATGGAGAACAACCTTTGAAGAAACCATAACAGCAGGGCATTGTCGGACTCATTTTTCTGTCATTAGACAATCAAAAATACAGTCAACATATGCTAAATAGATTTCGATTCAATAGATATGCGCAAATCAGATGAAGAATTTATAGACATGCACAAATTAGATGAAAAATCTATTCGAAATCAATTAAGGTCTACATGATTATGAATGTCTTGTTAAGATCACAAAGTTGATTAAGAATAGACACAAAATGGAGCTTGAACCTAAATAGACAAAAAAATAAAATGCTCAAATAGAATCAAAACTTTCAGAAATATTACCGAAATAAGTGCTGATTTCCACCTTCTTCATTTGATTTATTGGCCTGAAAAACAGATTTTACACCAAATGCGGGTCATGGATGATTTCTATAAAAAAAATTAAAAGTTGTTGATAAATATTCTTTTGTATTAACAGTGCTAGAATGAAACTGCATGATAATTTTTTTCAAAATTTTGTACATGAAATGAAGTAATCAACATCCTTTTTTATATTATTATATTACATTTATTATTTTCCTATATAGCTGAATAAGTCGGGCTTCAAATGCAGGTGTCGTAGTTGGGTCATCACTTTTATTAACATTTCAAAATTTCAACACCAAACTCAATATGGAACTTTAAACTTAAAACCAAAACTGTAAAAGAATCAACTTTAGACTATGCATTGTAAGACCAGAAAACCACGTTGACTATTGTAAGTTTCTATAATTTGAAAAAATATACATATGGAGATTAATGAATAGCGGTTTATAAAAAGGTAAAAAGGTAGAATGGCATCTCACCGGTTGTTGTCAAATTCTTTTGCTTTGTTCATTAGAAAAAACAGATTTCACCTGAATACTTCTAAATATCTATGCAACTGTATAAGACTATTACCCAACAGTAAAAAACTTTAGTGAAATTAGGTAGACTTAAACCAAAACCTGAAATTAGACGTATGGAAGTATGTCATTTATGATTGCATTTAACGAAATTAGAAAAAGATTTGTCTAAAAATTTCACCATGAGGTTTCTCTTTCTCTGGATTGGCTCTTCCTTCTCTTTTGGCTTCACAAAAAATACTAGCTTCCTTGATTCTCTATCAGCCAAGATCACATTCACTTTGATTTTCTGCAAATGTTATGATGATCATTACTATCTTCAAAATTGGAAGAAAAAAAAAGGAAATGCTGCAATTTCTGAAATATATATATATATATATATATATATATATATATATACTAGACCAACAAAGGTTGACAAGTATTCGACCTTTTCTTGGTCATAAATTGTTAGAAGATCTTCAAGTTTCATATCTGGTAATATTTCGCCCTCAATCTTCTCAGAATCTATGGTTCAATTAGGAGTTTCTGTCTTGTCTGTATCATCATAGCCTCCAATAATGTCCAAACTCTTGTTGTATGTTGAAGGATCGAAGCCTTTTCTCCTCAACCAAGACTCAAAAGCTAAAAACTTCCACTTAGTGGCAAGATTTCGATACGGCAAAAACCCTATAAAACACCCAAAAGAAACCTGTAAACATGGGCAAAATCATGACTCAAACAAAAAGTAAAAATCCAACATCACAATTCACAAACAACACTTTGGTAAAGAGGAAGGTAGCTCTTGGTATAACAAAGAAAAACACATGAACACTTACAATGAATCCTCTGGTACTACAATTTATCAATTCCACTACTCCTCTTCCTGTGGTCAGAAAAAGACCTGAACAAAAGTAAAATCATTAGTGACTGCAGGTCGAGGTGGTGGGGGTTCGAAGCCTTCACTTGATTCGAAATCCATAGAACTTCAATCATAATGATGAGACCTAATTTGAACTCTTATGAAATAAATATACTATAGCGGTTAAAACTGAAAAAAAAATCAACAAAAAAATGTACCTTTATAATATAATAATCAAATGTTTGAACATTTTGGTTGCGGTTGGGCTAATTAGATCCAAGCATCATAATGTTAAAGGCGCCAAAGTTCTCTTCCTGTTACCACTGATAAAACACTTTCATCCGGTGGCCGGTAAATCTGAATAAATGACTATTTTGCCCTTGTCTCCAACTGTTTCTCAAATTAAATTCCACCAAGCACATGGCTTGAAGTTCCCCTCCTAAAAAGAAAAAGAAAAAAAAGTCCATACATGTAAGAAAAATGAGATATCAAGCTTCGATAATTCTTATGCTCAAAAAGGTTATATCTGTCATGAAAGATATCAACTTAGGTGCAAAATATTCGGAAAAAACAATTAGATTATTGAAAAGATAAATGGAATTATGGCCAATGGTGAAGCCAAGGTAATGAAAACTGTAAATCAATGTTCTCAGAACTACAAAGAAGGTAATATTCTCAATATGTTAGGTCTAAGTCCAAAAGAAACCAAACCTAAGCATATTGTAACTTTGTTTAAGCGGAAAAATGTTTCTAGTTCTTTTCCACACTCAAATTTGAAATTTATTTCACACTTCGGAATAAAAACATGGAAACTTGAACCTTAGCTAAAGCAACTAATGCTTTCTCCTCAAGCTTCTCCACAGGAACTGTCTTCCTCGCAGTGTCTTGGCGACGTGAGTTTTCATACTACATGGACATAACATCACACACATGGTGTTAACTTCATAGTGTTTATTCTGTATAAGAGAGAACAGAGAGAGTGGATATTACCAGAAGAACCTGATCTACATAAGGTCTGATTCTCTGTTCAAACTGCCTGCTATCTTCACTAACAGCAACGTGCTGAAACATAAGCGCTTCTTCTTCTGCCTGTTTCATGCATGATTTCATGAAGAAACGAAAAGCAGAGCAACATGATAGAGAAAAAATGGAAAGATTCGAACTGTACCTCCTCGTATTTGAGATTTGCATCTTCGATTGCCTGAACATCGTGGGAAACAAACAACAAAGAATTTGATGCCTTTCCCGATAGACCCAAAAACATGGTCTTCTATGACCAGGGACCAAAACAGAATATGAAAGACCTGAAAACCGAAATCACAAAATTCAGAATTCATCATATTTGAAGTAAAGTTAAAATTCGAAGTTTAAAACCTGAAAATCAAACCTTTTTGGGTATCCTTATGGGAGTACATCAGGAACACCTTTGTGGTAAGCTAGGACACAAAATGGAAACCGAGAAGCCCCTGGACAAATCAGCCGATGGAGGGGGAATCGGAGACCAGGAACAGATAGATAAAAGGGAGAAGTTGAAGTACCTGAATGGCCGGAGCTGGAGCAGCAAAGGCGTAGGTCGACATCTCTACTTCTATGGCGGCGGCGGGAGAGGTGTTGGCAACAGATAGATAAAAGGAATACAGTGAGAGATAGAGATATAGAGACTAACATTCTGTGCAGGTCCGGTGTTGAAGAAGCAACTCTTGGGAAATACTTTCTTATCTGTTCCAAAAACAAAACCAGATGTTGATTAATGTTAAAAGGAAACCATTAACATGTACTGCCTTATGAAGAACAAAAAACCCTAACATAAATTAAACTGTCAGAGAAACCCTAGAAATCGATTGTTGTGTAAGTGTGTGAATATGCGTAGAAAGATAGAGGTGCAAACTCACAGAGTTCCTGTTTTTTCTCTAGGAAGGAACGGTCGAGGGAATAGTTGGATGGATCATAGAGAAGTTCAAAGCTGTTGAAGATCTCGATGGTTGGTCCCCGTTGAACTCCAATGACACAACCAAACACCCTAGATGAAGGAAGGGCCGGAGAACTGGAAGAGGCGGAGGTGACGTCACCACCATTGGCGGTCGGTGGTTGAGATTGGGACTTAACACGTGTGTGATGATCGGAGATGTTGACAATCACCAGTGGGTGAAGCTCGAAGGTTAGCCCGCTACTCGATGATGCCATTTGATTTGCTGTTGTTGAATCTCTGAGTGCCGCCAGAGCCCTAACTTATTTTCTCCGATTGAAGTTTTGATTTCGCCGAAGAACGAAAGAGCGGTTTTGCCGTCGAGTGGGTTTAAAGGTTTTCACGACTAATGGGGTGTTCCAACTTTCAACCTTGAACCCATTTTGGAAGCTCAGAATCTTGTTTGATGGATCAGAAGGTTGTGGAACCTGGTTCACGTCTCCAAACCCTACAAATTGGAACGTACATTCTGGGTCAAAGCAGAACCAAAACAGATAAAGATGGAAGTGAAACCGGGCACGATGACCAACACGTGGACAGAGAACAGAATATTTTCCATAAAATACCCCTATACCAAAGTTGGAAGACATTTTTAATATATTTATATAAATTGAAGGGCCATTTTTGCCAAAAAAAAAAAAAAACAGAACTTCACTATTTATCTTTCGAGACAAGTTTAATATATATATATATATATATATATATATATATATATATATAATAATAAAGATAGGGTCCTCTCTCTCTCTCTATATATATATATATATATATATATATATATATAAACTAAAAGAACACACACTTAAACATCTATCTCTCTCACTTTGAAGAGACCACCGATCTATGCATTGATAACCTCCGCCGAAGATCTTTCCGCCTCAGAAAACCCTCAAAATAGACACCATCCTCATCCCACACTCGCGACTCCCAATTTCATTTGGGATTTGGTTTCGTTTGTGATTTTAGGATTTGTGAATCGTGTGTATCTTGCAAATTGAAACTGAGCGATTATCCTTACTCATCATCTTCTACGAATTTGGTGTTCCATTCAAGTGTTCAAGTTTGGGTTGGATCTAGTGTAAATTTGGTTTGTTCACAGTGGGTTGAAGGATTCTACCAACTATTTACATGGATAAACACACACACATGCCTATCAATTTCAGATTCAATGGAGAAGATGGAGACCAACCACCATCATAGAAAGAACCCACCACCAGCAGCCACCCCCTTCACTCTCCCTCTCTTTCCCCTGTAACAAAACACACACATACACACTAAAAATCAATACACACATACACACTAAAAATCAATACACACAAACACAGGAAGACATATAATGAAGAAATCGGCATCATTTTGGATTCTCTGTGTGCGAGACCTTCATCTTCTATGTTCATCTGATATTAGCCCATGTGCAAAGAAATCGCCATCTCCAGCATTTTCGATTCACTCCATCATATTTTTTTCCTGGGATTCTATCATCATGTTTCATCAAATTTTTGGTTTGGGGTAATTATTTTGGTATCATCTTTGATTTTGAGTTCGATTCTGGCATAGTTTGATTTCATCTTCTTCTAATTTTGGTTTAGGGTTTGTGTTTGATTTTTGTATCTGAATTTTGTAGTTGATCTAGATTTCTATAAGTTTCAATTTTTTGATTTTTATTTTTGAGTGGGATGTCAGCCTGTTACATCCCGACTCCCAGGTATAGTTTTTGAAAGATTTATATTTATTTTACTGAGGGAACTCGACGAGTTGGAGGCCCCAACTCGTCGTGTCGAACCTAGTCAGCCCGCGTGATTTATGACTTCTACTCGACGAGTCGGAGGACTCCGACTCGACAAGTAGAGGTTGTGCATGGAAACCCTAATTTTTAGGGTTTGCACCCTATTTAAAGGACCTTAAGTCCTTTCCTCCAGCCCCTTACCAACTTTTGACGGCCAGAAGAAACCCTAATCAGTCTAAACCTTGTTCTTGAGTGTTTTTGTGAGGCTAAAAGAGTGTTTTGGTGCATTTGTGCAAGAAGCTTGAAGAATCAAGAGCTTGGATCAAGGAGAAGTTTGCAGATCCAGTACCTACTCCATATTGGCTTCCATTTGAAGGTAACAAGTTGTTACCTTGATCATTATAGTGTTAGATCTCCTTATTCATGGGTTAAAGGCCATCCTTAGCATAATTGTGGGTTATTTCGGGTATTGGGCATGATCTGAAGTTGTAAATTCAGATCTGGACTCCTCTAAGTCCTTGTAGTCATAAAGTTATTGAATTTATCAAGCTTTGGCCCTTATCTTTAGCTTAAACCTCTCCCTTAGCTGGGTGTTGGCATTTAAGACCTTGCATGCACGTAAAGTTTGTAACTTTACGTGGTAACTATGCCTTAGGAAGCTAGATCTACAATTTAGAGCTTTGGAGTAGCTTAAAAATGCCTGAATGAAAAATAGATTGAAGGGACTCGACGAGTTGCATAGTCAATTCGACGAGTCAGATGAAGATTTGGTCGTTTTTGGTTTCTGCACGGACTCGGCCTGTCAGTAAGATGACTTGACGAGTTAGTTAGGGTTTTCCCGACATTTGGACACCGCATGGACTCGACGAGTTGTATGGAAACTCGACAAGTCAACTAGGATTTTCATGATTTCTCGAGTTCTGGAAGAACTCAACGAGCTACACTCGACGAGTTGCGTCAACATGGACTGTTGAACTTGAACGTTGACTTTGACTTTGACCAAGGGTTGACCAGTTAGACTTTTGAGGGTATTTTGGTAATTTGGTATTTTGATGGACTTGGTCCTATGATGGTTATAGGTGGTTGAGTTCATGGCTGTGATTCGGGAGTTTGATCTTATCACTACAGTTCGACATCGTGAGGTGAGTTTTTCTCACTATATCAACAGGGTCTACGACACCAAGGCCGGCCCTTTATGATTGGTATCCTGGTTATAGGATGGTTGCTATGTTAGTGATCTGATAGATCGGTATCCTGGTTATAGGATGGTTGCTATGTTAGTGATCAGTTAGATCGATATCCTGGTTATAGGATGGTTTCCATGTTAGTGACCTGTTAGATCTGTATGACTATCTGTACATGCTAGCTAGCGTATGATATTTATGTATACATGATTGTTTGATTGGGGGTTGGGTTGAGGTGGATATGCTTTGTGTTATGCCAACATACCCAGGGCGGGTCGGATAAACTGCAGACCCGGTTAGGGCGCACTAGTCAGGCCGAAGGCCCGACGAGCGGTCCGGATAGGCTGAAGGCCCTAAGAGGCGGTCCAGATGTGTCGATGACTCGGAGAGCGGTCCAGATAGACTGATGGCCTGTGAGGCGGTCCAGTCATGATGATGGCTCATTATGCATGCTGTTGTTTATATGATATGGTTATATCTGTGTGGCGTTGGTATTTTGGGGGAACTTATTAAGCTTCGGGCTTACAGTTATTGATTATGTTTCAGGTACTTCTGATGATCGCGGGAAGGCGAAGGCATGATCGTGCACCTCCTTATATTTCTATGATTTGATTTTGGGGATTTCTATGATGTTTAAACTATAAAACAAACTGTAATAATTAAATGGTTTTAAATGTTTTAAAAAGTTGTAAATTGGCATGATTTTTGAGGGTGTTACAAGTTGGTATCAGAGCCTTCGTTTGAGTGAATTGGAGGAAACTGTCACACCCCAAAATCGGAACGGTAGAAACGTTCGGGGGCGGAGGACATCATGTACAGTATCACAACAATGCATAATAGTAAAACAAGCAACAACATCATTCATTGCATTAATAGTATAATTTAATACAAGTGTGTTGTGTATAGTTTATAAGACACCAAAAATATGAATCAAAATAAGAGATGAGTCTTGAATGTGCTCCATCTTCTCAAAACCTGGTCATCGGTACCTGTCTACTGGCGACCTGAGAATACAAGTTACTTTGAAAGCGTAGATCAGCATTAAAGCTGGTGAGTTCATAAGTATTTTAGTGTCATTGTTTGTATAAGTTTGAAGAAAGTGCTTGTAAATGTTTGATGTAAACTGTCACACCCCAAAACCGGAACGGCGAAAACGTTATGGGGCGGAGGACGTCATGTTTAGTATCACAAGACATGCATCATAGTAAGCAAGTAATAAACAACCATTTCATTAGAAAGAAAGTGTTTACAAAGTATGTGATTCACATAATATAGAATACATAGCGATTAACAAAAAGACATGAAGCTATACTGCTCCATCTTCTGAATCCCAGTGCGCGAACCTGTCTACTGGTCTCCTGAGAATACAAGTTATTTTGAAAGCGTAGATCAGCATTTAAGCTGGTGAGTTCATAAGATCTTAGTGATGTAGTAAGTAGTAAGAAAGTTTGTAGAAAGTTGTAGTAAGTTGTAGTAAGTTCTTGTTTAGAAAAGTTTGCCTATTCCTCATGAAAATCCTATATTTCCTGCTTTGATGAAAGATAAGTAAACATGACTCTACAGTCCTTTCTATGAGTATTAAATGGATACAAGTTATATAAAATCCAGAGTAAACAAACAATCGGTTGTGTGTGTCTGCCCTAAGCCCACAACCAAACAAGGAACAAGAAATGAGGCGGAAGACACACATCCCATTGTTTGTTAGATCATCGTTGTATATAACCCCTGCGTATTCACTCGGTACTCACGGAGTTAACTATATTAGTTCCTTTATATTTGATGAAAAGATCCTTTAAGAAAACCCTTATTTCTTATAATAAAATGATAACCACAGTAGTTCCTTCTATAATCACTTAGTTTATACTAGTTATATATAATCTAATATCGAACAAATAGTTAATTGTGTGAATCTGCCCTAAACCCACAACCAAACAAGGAACAGGGAATGAGGCGGAAGGCACACATCCAACTACCTATCGGATATTAATTATATATAACCCTGGTGTATAAACTAAGGTATTATAGAATTAACCACCTAAGGTCCTTTAAGTTTTACTGGTTTAATAAAATGGATTAAACCCTTTACTGGTTAAGTTTCTAGTTTTGTATTCCAAAAGTTCTTCATTTGAAAAGTATGTTTTGTACTAGAAAACGATGCATTGAATTAGTGTCCTATGACCTGACCCATACATGGTACCCTTTATGAGTAATTGGTGTGTACGGAACATATATATAGCTAAGCTCGGATAGATAGTAGGCTGAGTGTATCTGCTCTAAGCCCACAACCAAACAAGGAACATGAAATGAAGCGGAAAGCACACATCCTACTACCTGTCGGACCCGATTAATATATATCCTTGAATGCATACACTAAGGAATCATAAAGTTAGCATTATAGATCCCTTTCTACTGAATGTACTAGACTCGACTGTTCTGTGTGTCGTTTGTAAAATGTAAGTTTTCCCTAGTTTATAACTATCTTGACTCGAAAATAGTTTGTATTAGCTTTCAAGTGGAACTGTCACTTTCTGAAAGTAATGGGAATTTATAAGTACACAGTTGTC